TCCATCCTTCCCTCCCTTCCTCCCTACTCCAGTTTTGGTATCAAGTTAATGCTGGCTGTTTAAAATTTTTAAATGTATTTTCATTATGCCAGGCATGATAGTACATGCTGTGGTATCAGCACTTCAAGGACAGACAAAGGAGGACTGCTCCAAGTTCAAGGTTAGCCTGGTCTATATAGTAAGAATCTGGACAGTTAGAACTATACAGTGAGACTCTGTATCAAATAATAACTATATTTAATACTATTTGGCAAATAGAAATTCTATATATATTTCCATACAGTGTGTAATGCTCAAACATGGTCATTAGCATCTTTATTACTTCAGACACTGAAAATCCTAACTTATTTTTAAATACTTGATTCATTTTTGCAAAGTAGTCTACTGTGCTCCTATCCAACCATACCCTTGTGCCTGTGAACTTTCTCCATCCCCAAAAAGGCATACATTTTGTTGTTTGGTGACTTATCCTACAAATGTCAATTAGATCTTATCAGCTGAATGTGGTGCTAAGTCCTTTCAAGGGTTGTTGGAGTCCCCAACACTAGCTACAGATTTATTTCTACACTCAGTTTTAGCAACTTCTGCTTCACTATTTTGCAAGCCAACTGTCTGGTGCATGCTCTTCAGGATTCCTGTCTTCTTGATGGACTGACCCCAAACTCTTGTGAGATGGGGTCTATGTTGCCCAGGCTAGTCTCAAACTCCTGGGCTCAAGTGATCCTCCTGCCTCAGCTTCCCAAGTAGCTAATACTACAGGTGTGTACCACCACACCTGGGTAAACCTTTTTATCACTGTATAATTTTTATGTCTCTGGTATCTTTCTTTGCCCTGAAATCTACCTTACTGATTAAATATAGTCTACTTTCTAACTTTTTTACCCCCACTGCTATGGGTTGAACCCAGGGTCTCAGGCATGCTACACAAACACTACACCATTGAGTCAAGTTACAACCTGGCCCCCTGCTTTCCTTTTATATGTATCTGATATACACTTTCCCAAACTTTTCCTATATTGTTGTTTGAAGTTTCTTAAAGACAGTATAAACATAGCTAAGTCATATTTCTTAATCTAGTTTGCCAATATCTGTCTTTTAATTAGTACATTTAGACCATTTATATATACTTTTAATTTTTATTATTATGTATGTCACAGGATGCATATGGAGGTCAGAGGACAACTTTGTGGGGTTGGTTATCTCCTTCCACTATGTGAGTTCTAGGGATCAAACTCAGGTTGTCAGGTTTGGTAGCAAGCACCTTTACCTGCTGAGCCACCTTACCAGCCCTTTTTATTTATGTATTTTTTTTATCATTTATAGTTAATGTAATTATTGGTGTTAGCATGTAAGTCAACCATTTTTCACTTTTCATTCTGATTTGTTTCTATTTTCTTATTGAATTCCATTTTGATTTACCTATACTGTTTTGGAGTACATCCTCTTTGGACAGCTCTTTCAGTAGTTGTACTAGGTACATTCTACTGGAGTAAAACGTAGAAAATTCACACTTTTCTATGTCCCTTTATTTTCCCTGTTTAACTTATTATCTCTCCTATGTACATCTAGAACCACCTTAGGCTGTGTTACAAATTTCTGCTTCAACTACCAAACATAATTGATAGTTGAGAAGGAAGACCTAATTACTCATAACCATGATTTTTGTCTTCTTGATGTTCCCCCTTTTTTTTTTTTTTAATTATTTCGTTTGTTTAGAAAACTGAAGTCATTCTTTCAGAATGAATCAGGAACAAATTCTCTGGTATCCCTAAACTCATCATGTCCATCTGTCTGAGACTAAGTAGTAACCCAGCAGAACTACATTAAAATACAGAGTAAGATGCTACCTAAAACACTGTGTCAGAACTGACTTACTGATTGGAAGAGAAAGGGCACTGCAATTTATCAGCAAGACAATAGAAGTAGGGGGAGGAGTTGAAGGAGAGCTGGGAACATTCCAATTTCTGAGACTGTCATTTGTGAAAACACAAAGAATAAAACCAATGCTCACAAGGCAAGAACCTCTGGGCAGTGTGGATGGCACACAGGCCTGTAATTCAGTATACAAGAGGCTGACACAGGAAGATCATGAATTCAAAAGCCAGCCAGGCTTATACAGTGAGACCTTGTCTCAAAAAGAAAAGGCAAAGACAAAAAAATGACTACAAACAACTTCCAACTTCCTTTTCTCCTGAAATGTGTTAAAGTATTTTTTTTTTCTCAACAAGGCTGAATGCCAATCTACTACCCTCAAGTTCTTGCCTAAAATATTACAAACCTCAGGTTAGCAAACAGTAACGAACAAGTCTCTCAGCCTGATAAACATCTCTGAAACTCGTGTCATTAAGATTAGAAAGAAAATACTGACATGGTCATACTATTTACAAGCCATTGCCATGGTAGCTCTTACCTGACACAGCCTCCTTAGTGACTCACTTCCTAGAGGCAACTGAGCAGAAAGGTTGTCCTCAACCCCGCCTGGCAATGACAGTCCAATTCAGGCCTCTCCTTTAAGCATCATGCTGCTCACCCACTGCCTATCCACATCTTCTCCAATCACTATCACTCCACCCCCTCCTTCAGAGAGAAATGAGAACAGAATGAGGATGGTTATTTCATGGGTCACATTTGGAATGTCCTCATTTCCCATCTCAACAGTCCCCAAGAAATGAAAGAAAATGTTCATCTCAAGTTTGAAAATCATTTTAGGGATCAAGAACTCTTTCCAGATCCAAGAATCCACAAGCTTAAGAAAAAGAATGAGCACATTGTTTAGTTGGCTTTCTCTTTTAATCAAAAACATACTTTGTTACAGAGTTCTCAAGAAAGGTTCGACTATTTTAAGCCACAAACTTCAACCAGACAAAAGTATACAGAGAGCCACAAAGGAACCAACTGGTACTTCAGTTGACCAGTTCTTCCCCAAGGCACAAGCTGTGTGGCTCTTCTCTTAGTTTTGGCATCACTGCATTCCTTGGACCTCAGGGAGGTGACAGAGTTGAGAGTACCACTGCCAAATCTGCCAACGGCCCAGTTACTTCCCACACACTGGGCTCTGTAGCACACCAGGTGTCATCACCTCTGAGCAGTCATGCTTTTCTGTTAGGTCACACATCCAATGCATTGATCAGAACCCCGTATTCGGAGGAAGCCTGCCAACTCCATTATTTAGCCTGTTAACCAATCCAAGTCCATGAGTCCTTCTATCAATGACAAGCAGCCTTAGCAAGAGCAGCCAGTTTCATCCCTTCTCCAGCCACCACAGAGCTGGCCTCTACCAGGACTCCCCAACCCCCCACCCTTAACCCACCCCCAGGAAGGCTCTCAGGTCCTTGAAAAAAAACAAGCTCGTTTATTATACTCATTCAAAGGTAGGCTGAAAGAGAACTCTGAATGATCCAGCCAAAAGGTGGACTTTTAAAAGAGGCAAATATAAATGAATAATCAGGTACTGATCTGTTTTCTTGAGTCATATTAATGAGATATTGATACAATTTGGAGAAATTTTCCTGTTTTGAGCATAGAAGAGTTAAGAAACTAAAGACCCAAAGAAAGGACTTCTAAAATTACTAGGCATTAACAACAGAATTTCAATCCATTTTAGGTGAAAAAATGACCAGCACTTAGGAGGATGGAATCTCAAACAGACCAACTTGAAAGTCAGGATGTCATGACTCAGAAAAGGCCTTTATAAACTTTGAAGAGAGGCAGAGAAATCAAAGGAAGGGTCCCTGGACCCCAGGCTTTTGTTTTTTCTGTTTGTAAAGTACCTACTGTAGCTCCCAAGGTGGTGCTAGGCCTTTGGTTAAAATTAAGTCTTAAGGACATAATATGTAACTTCTTGTCCACAGAATAGTAATAAAAGATCAAGGCTAGTCTCATTTGAGTAACACGGAAATAAGTAAAAAGCCCACTCAAACAGCAGAGCAAAGGTAAAGAACAAAGCCAAAACTGCTGCAAGGTTAGCAAGGTCACTTACAAGTCGGATCTGGCAGAACCAGTCCAACTCCCTCATTTTACAGATGAGGCAACTGAGGCCCAGAGAAGGTACATGGCTTGCTGAAGGGCACATTAAATGAGTGGTCGAGCACAAATTAGAAAGTACAACTGTCTGGCCTATCCCAGAGCCACTAGTTTTAGGTTGAACAAGTCCATGAACCTACTGAGACAGCATCTTAAATAAAGTTTGTGAAAAGTATCCACATCAACAGAGAAAAATGATTGTCTTCACCAAAATTTTCTCCTCAGTCCTTCCTACATTGAAAAAACAAAAAACCCAGGCATAAACAGCTTCATTAATTCATTTAAGTCTGATGTTAAAATCCCTGAAAACATCAGTCATTACATTAGCTACTCCTTGGGGAATGGTATCAGACCCTCAATTCTCATAAAGGCACCTATAGGTCAAAAGCATCTATAGAACAGGAAGGCCAGCTAACAGGACACAAAAACAAAGGAAAAGTGACCCCCTTGTTTTCTGAATGAAGTTTTGCGTGCGTGCATACCACCTTGGCTACTAATGCTGATTTAGAAAACCTGTGATCCCAGCTTTCATGAGCAACAACTAAGTGGAAATGAAACCTTTCAAAACACTATGGGGGGAAATTATGAATATGATTCACTTCTCTCCACATCAACCATCAAGCACCAGGGAACACTGGAAGCAATCAAACCAATGTAGAATCCCAGCACACTGAGTCCCTCTCAGCCCCCAACAGGAAAGCATCTTCGGAACTGTCTCAGAGTTCATATTTTTTAAGGAAAAATACTAATAATTTCACTCATCTTGTTTCCTTCCTGAGCAGTCGGAAGCAATGATTAAGAAAGGGAAGAAAACACTAAGGAGAGGCAAAAAACGACCATACAAGTGGCAGCTATAAGAGAAGGACTGGAAAAGGAAATGACGGGGACTAAGACTTCAAAAGCACAGCAGTCATGGACATTTAGAAAAGGTAACAGTTTGTCTGTCTTAGAAACCCCGGTAGTCTACACAGATAGCTAAGAACAAAAAAAAATTATATCCAGTATATTCTGATTTATGTATCGAGTAACTCCCATCAAAAAAAAAACTGGCTAATGTAAAAAAAAGTGTACTGCTTGGTAAGGCAAGGTTATGGAAAATTTCACTAGACCATGATACCAGGTAAACAACCTGACTGCACTGAGACAAATCCTAGGGATGAGTCTCCGCCAAGGATGCTGCTCTGAGTAAGGCCACTGACTTTTTACAACCTTCTTGGTATAGAAGAGAAGAAATTATCTGGTTTCTAGAAGGGAACCTGAAAAGGCTGGCGTAGGCATCTCACAGCCTGTTCTCTATAATCATGTAAAGTGGGGTTGGGGGGATTCTTTACAGATCATTATCTGTCACAAGATGGCCCTGCCTTTAGGGGGAAAAAGCAATTTTTTAGGCTGAGGTTACCTGCTAGTCCGTACCAAGTCCCACCTATACGAGTTCTTTTACTTCACAGGGCACTATTTCCATGTGCTCATTTACCTCAGTAACCTAACTCACCACTTTACCACTCTGCCGCTATTAAAGAGAAGCCACAGATTGCCAAAAAGAACTCAGGCCAACTCAGAAAAAAAAAAAAAAACCTGTTCCTTCCAAAAGGGTCTCAACAAATATGACAACACATTAAATTTTAAAATTCCGTATGAGTGATAATTAGCCAGTTACTACCAGACAGGAGCAGACACATTCCACCTTCATAGATACTGAGGGAACATTACAGGAAAATGCAAAATATCCTTCTTCAGATGATAAAAATCCCCAGGTTTCAGTTTACCTTCAAAGTTGCTAGTACAAACCACACTATTCACCACAAAAATGGATTTTTAACTTTGACATAAAGTACAGCTTAATGAGTTACTGGATTTTTTAGGAATAGTTCTCCTAAGCCAGATCATCTGATCTGTAAACCTGTAATATCTTTAGGAGCAATGGTCACCTCGCTAGTGATTAGGGTAGTACAAATGAGCCTTGTTTCTAGAAAAACAAGGTTACATGGCAGTGGTTTCTCATCTTCTTTGAATACCAGGGGCACTAAAGTATAGCAAACAAGGGAGACTCTATCAAAGCAGATAAAGGCAATATCATTAACGATTTTCTTGATCAAATGGAGAAAGGCATGAGACAAAGTAGATGGTCTCAGACTGGGTGGATCTGCTTCATCTCTCATTCAGCTTCTGCTGAAACTTAATTTTAGGAGAGTCTTGAGATACAAATTAGGGAGAACCATACCCACATAATAATCAGACTCTAAGAACTGCAGAAACTATTTTATCCTAAAATGGACAGAAAAATTTAAACCTAGGGTGATTTTAATCTTATTCATTAAAGAGGGCAACCTCTAAAGAATAGAAGGAAATAGGATTTAGCAACTAAGCTGCCAGGAATTGGTATCATACTAGATTTCTTAAAAGCATATGACAATCAGTAAGTACAAATATAATCAATAACTAGAAGTACTTCTATATTTTATGGCTCTTAGTAAAAGAAACCAAGACAGGTGCTTGGCTCTACAGAGATACTTCTTAGCAAATATTTTCCACGTATTTTCTGAAGATGATTAAACATGGAAAATTTTCTATAAAGTAGAAAAGAGGCAACAAATTGTACCACTGCACGGCTAAGGTTCTAGTCAAATAATGTGGATTTAAAAAACCTATTATACTAAAACTCTTTCCTTTTACTCTTATTCTCCATTCATAATAAAATGGACCTAAAGACAAAAATTGCTTTGTATAATTCTGCCAATAAAATCTTTTTAAAACAATCACCAAGAATCACCAAACATATACAGATAACTAGCTAGGTCTTTACCAAAATTACTTATAAGTACTGAAGAGTAGAAATGAATTGGTAGAGAAGCTTTTAAAAAACCAGATGTGTAACTTGGATTGAGATTTGCATTGCAATCACAACACATTCAGTGGTTTCCAGGAGTCTCATTGAGACCTTCTGAACCAAGCTGTAGAGGACGTGCTCCTTTTGGCTGACACAGAGAAAGCTAGTAGGCATTAAGTGTTTCCCAAACTACCATGCCTTAAAGGCTCTTAAAAAGCTCACAAAAAGCCCTCCAAGCAAGAGTAAAAACATCTCGATGATGATCTCAATTCTATTTCACACTATTGATCCCAGGCCTATTTTTTGCTACAGTACAATAAAAGTTAAAAAATAACCAACTCTACACACGATCTATAATGTATATGGGAAAGTCCTGGTAGGATGTGAGGGAAAAAAACAAAAAAAAACCAAAGCTGCCCAAAACAACTGGCTGCTGCCGGTCACTTGGTAGAAGGTGTCTCGCCACTGAGATTGGACTCAAAAGTGCAAAGAAAAGCATTTTAAAAATCAAACCTAGAATTCAACTTGTATGTTGAGATTCAGTTTTATTTACGCTACTAACTAGGTAAAAAGCATACATATTTGTCTGTGGTACAGTCAATACATCTGTAACTTTTCTACTTAAATTCTCTATACAAAGTCACTGCCGACTGGATATGATCATTGATGTCAAAGGGCTTAGATAACCAAAAGGTATAAAAAAGTTTGCAGTCTTGCCCCAAGATACAAAAACTGAATTTTAAACAATGCCAAAACATACATGATTTAAACAGTATATGAAAAAAAAGTCACACATCAAATCAAGTACAAAAATATCCAAACTACCTATTATGAACTGCAATGTTTCCATTATTCTGCACAGTATTTAACATAGAATTTAGCAGTTTCCAAAATACTCATTATTTTAGTTTAAGCATTGCCACCTTGCAGAACAGTGAAATATCAGAGTGACACTGCTTTTAGTGTTTTTTAAATACAAAACCTTCTCCCTATGAATTAGCAAAGGGAAAGAAATTCTTCCCCTAGGCATCTTTATAACCAACTCTGTGCCTAGAAATATAGAAGAATTCATCTACTGTTTAACAGGGCAAAAGATATGTCTTGATTACAGTCACCCATTAGGATAACAAATGTAATTTTAAATGACAAATATTTCTTTGATAATTTTAAGGAATTGTCAATATACACACAGATTAGTGTTTTTGTCTTGGCAAAAAGACAACTCAAGTTTGCAAGACAATCTAAATTGAAATAATCTTCACTACTTTAACTTGTAAAAAAAAATATTTTGGATAGGTTATAATACATTACTACCTTAGTTTTTAAGCAGGAAAGTTGTTCTTGGTAAAATTAACTCACCTACATGGCACAGTATTTTGGAGAAAAGTATGTTCAACAATAACTTGCACACAAAATAACATAGGTAAATAACTTTGAGAACTTCTCTGCCTTTAAAAATCAGCAATATTGAATTCATTCTGTAGACTAACACACACCAATGTTCTGCATATAAAAGGGTCTAAGACATTTTGAAGGGATGAGTTTTCCAGCACTGGAATGACTCCTTCATATACAACTTGTAAAGATTTAGTAAGAATTGGTTCTTTCTGATCTTCAAGCTCTGAGCCATGCCTGAAAATTTCTAAAATAGAGGGAAAATTGTTTTAATCCAGTTTCTGTCTGCTAGGAGCAAGGCAGCAAACACATTTTTCAACCCTTTATGAAAAGATAAAGCAGAACAAAAATGAAATAGATCTTCAGATTATAAACAGGGTTATTATTTCATAGTCCACCATCCTGAAAATGGCAAGGGCCTCCATGCTGAGATCTCAGTCTAACGGTTGTGGGTCTGCAATAGGCATGGTGTGAAGGACTTCATCTAGCAGCTGGAGAGCCCGGTGTAAATGAATCTCAATCCAACATGGCGTCTCTTTGATACTCTGTCGTGGGTAATCCGGTCCCCAGCCTTTCACAAAGCTCATCCTGAGTATACACAAGCGACGGAGGTCATCCACTCCAATGCCGGCAGCAGCTGAGAGACCTAACGGAAAAGTTTGAAGATGTCAGAGGGACAGAGTGGTCTCTTCCCATCCTCCCTACATCCTGCCTTCTTTACTTATTTTTCTCAGCACACAACTTCTCTGTCAAAGTGTCAAGTAACTGTAGATCTAAACTTTATTAACAGGAACTGAAAAGACATTCTACATGTGTTTTTCAGTTGATTATAAAGTAAATTGTCACAATCCACCAACACTCCACCTATTTTCCACTTTAGAAGTGGAGACATAGGGATAAGAGTGAACTTGTATGTGAAAGGCAGGGCATGTCCACAGGCTGGTTCTAAGAACCTGAGTGTCTGAACTGCCATGCCAAAGTAAGACATGACTAATAATAAGACAGTCCACACACCTGGCTTCACTAATATCTCTCAAATGACTCACATACTGTCTCTCCATTTTGATCCTAACAGGGAAAATACACAATTAGGTAATAGATAAAAATAAGAAATTTAATATTAGTCTGAATAATTTAGAAAAGATAGCTGTAACATTAAAACTAGCAAATGATTTAGATCCCCAATTTTTGTGAAAAAAAAAAAAAAAGGAATTAATGAGTATGTCTTGTATATATCTAAATTGTAAACCCCTGAGCATGTCACAACACAAGTTCTATATCTAATTTTCAAGTCAGAACATACAGTCATATAAGTCAATCCACATTTATTATTATTACCATGATACTAATGGGAGGCATTTGCATGTACTGTGTAGAAACCTGCAGGGCCACTGCAGTTTCCTTAGCCAGTGTGATTTGCTTACCACACTGAAGAGGTTAAGAACAGGGGTTGAATGAATCACTAGTTATGCCTTCAGACGTGGAAGATGGGTGCCACGTGTTTCCATCATAAAAGTCTATAGTCAGGAGTTTAACTCTGCAGTAAAAAATTCCCCATCAGTGTGAAACCTGGCACACAGTTCAATTTTACCCTAAAATTAAAAAAAAGTCTACAAGTTATCAAAATACCACCCTCACTTAGTTTTCTCTCCATGCTTATACTTTTTTTTTTTTTTTTTTTTTAGTGGAGGGTGTCCAATTCTGGAACTGAAAAAGGCTTTTCTTACCAGAATAAAGTCAAGCACTTAGTGACTGTAATTCCCCTGGCTGGTAGGAAGGAACTGTAATAAGCATCAACTAAAAAGGGGAGACTAGCAGTATAATAGCCACCTTTATCCCCTATTCCCTTTTATACAAAAAATACAAACAGGATCCTGTCCCAGGCAAAGGGCAACTACTACAGAAGAAAGGTTTTTACAAATTTAAAATGCTATCACCCCAGGAAAAATTTCAATTTCCATTATTGCTTAAAATAATTGACCACCTGAGTGAAATCAAAATTAAGAGCCACTACTACACTTAAAAAAAAAATAATAAAAGCATACTTACTGATGGCTGGAGCTATTCCACCTACTGACCCAGGACCAGGGATGTTTCCTGCCACAGCTGCTGCCTGGGCTGCAGCTGCTGCCTGTGCAGTGGCTGCCTGCTGCTGCATCTGTCGATGACATTGACGCAAATCAAAGACCTTTAAAAAAAGAACACGTAAGTTTATGTATCCATCAAAAATGGCAACATATCAAAAGCCAACAAGCAATATTCTGAAAACGCAGAGCTTCATTTACCTCTCACAAGAAGATAATTAATTTAAATTTTTTTTTTTTTTTTTTTTTTTTTTTTTTTTGACAGGGTCTCCCTGTAGCCAGTCCCAGCTCCTGGATTCACTATGGAGACCAGGCTGGCCTCGAACTCACAGAGATCCACCTGCCTCTGCCTCCTGAGTGCTGGGATTAAAGGCGTGCACCACCATGCCCGGGTAATTTAAATTTTTAAAATTTCTATCTAAACTGTGACTGGTATAAAACAAGGAAAGACAGCTTGCAGATCACCAAACGGTACATACACGTCACTGTCGGGATGACTCTGGCTGCCACATAGCTCTATACACTTTTTCGAGTTCCATGTGGTCCAACTGTTACTGTTTTTGTGAAAAGCTACCTGTCTGTGTCATGGGAATGCTTAGGAAATTACCCCCTCCTTCAGAACCAAACTGCTGAGTATTCTTCAGGCTGGCAGTGATGGCTTTAGTTATCTAGCCAATACTTGTGATTCTAAAGAGTACAGCAAATTACACTGTTCGGTATAAAAGAAAACACCTACATTATTATTCACTAAAGATTTATTCTTTAATTCTTAAAATTTTTACATGTAATGTGTTTTGCCTGCATATATGTTAATGCACCACATGCATGCAGTGCCAGGACAACAAAAAAGAGGATGTCAGATCACCTATAACTGGAGTTACAGAAGGCTGTTAGCTGCCATGTGTGCTGGGAACCATATCCAGGTCTCTGCAAGATCATTAAGTATTCTTAACTGCTGAACCATCTCTCCAACCTTGAAAGATTTATTTTTGTTTTTATTTATGGGTGTGTGTATCTTTGTGAGTATGTGCCAAATGTGTGAGTGCCCATGGCAACTATGAGAAGACGTCACATTGTCAGGAGCTAGAGTTACAGGCAGTTTGTGAGGCACCCCACATCAGTGCCAGGAACTGAGCTCAGGTCCTCTTGAAAAGGAGTAAGCTTTCTTAACCACTGGGCCATCACTCCAGTCCCCACATCTACACTTTTATAAGAAATAAACTTTAGTACCTTGGACAAGATAACACAAACAAGGCTTGTTCTCAAATGCTCCAGAGAAGGGGAAAAAAGGATAAACCAAACAGTTATAAAAACAACTACTTCGGTCAGGGCTGGAGAGATGGCTTAGCAGTTAAGAGTATTGACTGCTCTTGCAGAGGACCCGGGTTCAATCCCCAGCACTCACATGGCAGCTAACAGCTGTCCAGAACTCCAGTTCCAGGGAATCCGACACCTTCTTCTGATCTCCTTGGGCACTGCACACATGAGGTACACATACATACATGCAGGCAATACACTCATACACATAAAGATAAAAATAAATAATAAATAAATAAATAAAACTACTTCCTCTAAGTAATGGGCAAGTATAATTTCATGAAACTTACCTCTATTTTACAAAGTGTTTCAAAATATTTATAATTTCAGAAGAATTTTAAAAGAAAAAGGCCAGTTTTGAATCCCATCACCAATTAATTACATGGATTAAGCTTAAGTTCCTTGAATCCTTAGCCTTCATACTTATGAGATTAAGTGCACATAACTTTCATAGGGTTACTGTCAACTTACTATAGTACACAGTAAACTATTAAATGTTACTTATTGTTTTGGGTTTTGGCCTTTCTAGTAGCCCCTATTCTTTCAAGATGAGTTAAGGGAGACTTGAAGTAATTTCAGTGTTCTTCACAAAGCAAGCCAAAGACAGGGTAAAGAAGGAGTCCATGGCACATTCACCTCCTCCCTTGTCAAAGTAATGTGCTATTTCATTTTATTTATTGTTTTATTTATTAATGTGTGTGTATATGTGTGTGTATTCCTGCAAAGGTCAGAAGAGGGCATCAGATTCCCTGGAACTGGAGTTATGGACGGTTGTTAGCCACCATGTGGGCGCTGGGAATTGAGCTCAGGTCCTCTGCAAGTGCAACCTATGCTCTTAACTGCTGAGCCATCCCTCCAGCCCCGAGTATTATTTCAATAAGCAACTAATTATGTGTAGCAAATTATCTTCTTACCTGAGAAAAATATATTTATGATTTTATTTATTTCCTAAAATAATATATTTTCCATTTTAACAAGCCATGGAAGTCACACAGCAAGAGTAGTCATTGCAAAAATTGTAGAAAAGGAGGACAAGGAGAGGTAGAAGCAGATTACTCAGTGCCAACTATTCTTTATAATCACTTTAGTTTCTGAACCATGTAACTAGTTCCCTATTCAAAACATATACTAATTCCTTAAATCTCCTGGCATGCAGATACTTGGGTTAGGTGTACACTACCACACTTACCACTGAAGACTGGAGAAATCAGAGTGCATAACTTACTACTTGGTGACAACAGCTTTGGAACCCAAATCATAAATTTCTGATGCTTGAAAAAATTTTGTCTTAACCATGACATTTATCTAAACCATAAAAATGCACAATAATAACATAATCTCTCCAAACAGTAAATCGTATTCCTATTTACTTATCTCTTTAGTTCGTGTCTATCTTCTAAAGACAAAAACTTCCTTGATTAACACGAATGAGGACAAAATTGATACTACCCTGCTGTTTGGAGATATGATCTCTATTGATTACCTGGCCCTACAAGAAAGAAAAGAAGAAAAGAAAGAGAAGAGAAAGGATAGTGGAGGGGAGGAGAGGAGAGGAGAGGAGAGGAGAGGAGAGAGAAAAGAGGAGAGAGAAAAGAGAAAAGAGAAAAGAGAAAAAAGAGAAAAGAAAGCAGGACAACGTTGAGTTCAAGAAATCAGAAGTCCCTCAAAGCCCAGAACAGAAACTATCACTTTCCTCATAGTTCCCAACAGTTTCTTAGACTTTAAACTTTCCCACTGGGCCTTACCTCCAAAAGGTACTCTCCAGCACAGCACAAAGCAGGCTCAAACCAACACTGATGTGCTTACTTTGAGCAGCTTTAGGTTCAAGGCAAAACCAAGCAAAAAGTTCAGAGTCCCTGTTTCCCCCTACATAAGCCTCATTTGTCACCATCTGTGAATTACATACTAACACACAATGACCACCCAAAAGTTCACACTCCACATTTAGGATTCATACCCAATGATGACAAGTATGACATCCTATGAGTTTGCACAAATTTGTAATGCCACATACCTATCACTGTTGTCCATCATACAGAATACTTCCAACTCATAAAACTCTCTGCCTTCTGTCTGCTCACTCCTCATCAACCTCTAGAAGCCTCTCATCTTCAGACTTTTTCAGATTACATAGTTGGAATCAAACAATTCTTTAACTTGGTAATAATATTTAGCTTTTCTGTGTCCTTTCACGAATGAGAGTGCACTTATTTTTAACACTGAATATTCAACTGTCTAATATACCAGAGTTTAACCATTTACCTGCTGAAAAACATCCTGGCTGCTTTCTAATTCTGACAACTGTAAATAAAGCTACTCTAACCATTTATGTGCAGCTTTCTGTGTACACTTAAGTTTTCAATCCTCTTCGGTAAATGACAAGGAGTGACGTTGAATTATATGGTAAGAATGTTTTATTATAAATGGACAAAGTGTCTATTAAAATGACTATACCATTTCCCATTCTTACCAGCAATGAATGAGTTACATTACCTCCCTCCCCCAAGATATGGTATTGGATTTTGACTATTCCAATAGGCTATATGGCAGCAATCTTATTTTGGTTTTAATTTGTAATTTTTTTTCTCTCTTTCTCTCTTTCTTTTTTTTTTTTTTTTTTTTTTTTTTTTTTTTTTTTTGAGAGAGGGTCTCCCTGCAGCCTCAGCTGACCTGGAACTCACTATGTAGACCAGGCTGGCCTCGACCTCTCCCTCCTGAGTGCTGGGACTACAGGCGTGCACCACCACGCCCGGCTTTAATTTGTGATTTTTAATGACACATTGTAAAAACCTTTTCAGATGCCTGTTTGCCATCTGTGCACCTTTATTATAAAATTATTTACTTGTGTGTGTGTGTGTGTGTGTGTATGCACACTGTGCTGTTTGTGACTGTGGGTGTACAGAGGACAATTTTCAAGAGCTGGTTCTCTCCTTCCACCGTGGGTTCTGGGGACTGAACTCAGGTCATCAAGACCGCATGACAAACGCTTTTCCTGCAGTCATTTCACTGAGATGTGTGTTCAGGTATTGTGTCTATTTTTCTATAGAATTGTGTGTTTTCTAATTGTTGGATTTCAAGAGTCTTTGGATGTTTTAGTAAAGGTGTCTTAACACCACCATTGGTGCCTTTGAGAAACGTTTGTTCCCATCTGTGGCCTGTCTTTCTTATTCCCTTGATAGTGCTTTCCACAGAGCAGAAGCTAGTGTGTGTGTGTGTGTGTGTGTGTGTGTGTGTGTGTGTGTTATGCATGCAGATGTATGTGCGTGTGCATGTGGAGGCCAGAGGTCAACACTGGGCTGTCTTCCTTAGATGTTCTCTATACTAACTCTGCTTTCACTTATTTATAATCATGTTTTCTGTAGTTACATCAAACTTACTACATAAAACACATGAATATATAATATCTTCCAGATATCTTTCAATCAAGAGCTAAATTTTCTTTTCCAAGTCTCAATTACATTACTGCATCAGCGTGAATTAACATCAGGAAATAATAATCTGGAAGGAGAAACACATCGTGGTATTGGTATTTATAGCACCTGGGTTATTAAGACTGCATTAAAAATTTACCAGCTATCTGACTTAAAGGTAAGAATAACAATATTCAAGAGCCGGGAATACATTTGAGTGGAGTTCATAATACCTTTCAACATAGCCCCTCGACACACATATCTGTTGTTTTAAAAAAGTATCTTTTGCTTCCTTCCACTAACATGTATGTGGGAGAAGCGCAAATCAAAACTACAATGGAATCCCTCTTCATCCCATTAAGATGGCTAAAATTGTT